GGTGGGTGTGGTGCGTGCGGTGTGGTGGTGGGTGTGGTGCGGTGGTGTTAGGTGGTGTGTGGTGGGTTGTGGTTGGTGGTGGTGTGTGGTGGTGGGTGTGGTGTGGTGAAGTGGGTGTGGTGGTGTGTGCGGTTGCAGGTTAGGTGAGGTGTGGGTGAGGTGGTGTGTCGGTGTGGTGAGTGTGGGTGGATGTAGTGATGGTGTCGTGGTGTGGTAGGTTGTGTGTGTGGTGATGGGTGGTGGGTGTAGCATGGTGTTGTCGTGGTGTGTTGAGGTTTTGTGTGGTGTGGTGGGTAATGTGTGGTGTGTGGTTATGTGTTGTGAGGTGTGGTAGGTGAGTGGGTGAGGTGTGGTGAGGTTGGTGTGGTGAAGTGAGTGTGAGTGTGGGTGGGTGGAGGTGTGGTGAATGGGTGTGGTGATGTGGTGTGGGTGGGTGAGGTAAGTGAGGTGTGGTGATGTGGGTGGTGGTGTGGTGGGTGAGGTGTGGTGTGGTGTGTGGGTCGTGGTGGGTGTGGGTGGTGGTATGTGATGTGGGGGTGGGTGTGGGGTTGTGTGGTGAGTGGTGTGGTGGTAGTTGGTGTATGTGTGGGTTTGTGAGTGGTGTTGGGGTGGTGGTGGTGGTAGTTGTTGTGTTGGGTGGGTGGTTTGTGTGGTGGTGTGAGTTAGGTGGTTTTTTGTGTTCTGGGGGGGTGAGTTATGGTGTTTGTTGTATTGGGTTCGGTGTGTTCGTTTTGGGTGTGGGTGAGGTTGGTGGTTGTTTGTGGTGTTGTGGGTTGGTTAGGTGGTTGGGTGGTGTTTGGTGTTCGTGTTTGTTGTGTTGTGGTGGGTGTGGTGTATTTGTTTGTTTGGTAGTTCTGTGGTTTTGTCGTTGTAGGTTGGGGGTATGTGGGTGGTTGGTGGCTTAGGTCTGGTATTTTTTGGTGGGTTGGTACTGGAGGTGTGGTTTTGTTGTGTGGTGTGGGGTTTTGTGTTGGTGTGGTGGTTGGGTTTCGTGTGGTGTTTGGTTCGGTTGTCTGTTTTGTGGTGTGGTGTCGGGGTTGTTTCTGTTCTTCTTTCGTCATGTCCCCTTCCTTTGGCTGAGGTCCTTCTTGGTCATGTTTTTTCTGTTCTTTTTCGTACGATGTGGTGATGTCTGGTGTAGCAGGGTGTTTGTGATGTGAGGAAACTCGTGGTGTAGTGAGGGTAAGTTGTGAGGTAGAGTTGGAGTGTGGAGGTGATTTGTCTGTGGGGGAGAGAGGTAATGTGTGGTGGTGGGGTGAGGGTAGTGGGGGTGGGGGGGGGTGTTGACGGTGTGAGATTGTGGTGGAGTTGGGGTGAGGTGGTCGAGGTGGTGCGGGTGGGGAGGTGTGGTAGGATGTGTGGGTAGGGGGAGGTGGGAGGTGAGGGGTGGGGTGGTGGGAGGTGAGGTGGAGAGGAGGGGTGAGGAAGTGGGTGTTGGGATGGGTGTGTGGTGGGATGGTGCGAGGTGCGAGGAGGGGGGAGTGGGAGTGCGTGAGATGGATGTTAGGAGGGGTTGGTATGTGAGTTGTGCTGTGGGGGGGGTGGGAGGTGGTAGTGAGGTGGGTGGATGTGAGGAGTGTAGGTGATGTTGGGGGGGGAGTGTGGCGGAGGTGGGGGGGGAGATTGGAGGAGTGGTGGTGTGGGTAGAAGTGACTGTGGGGGGAAAATGGGGTGAGGTAGTGGAGATTTGGGGTGTGGGGTTAGAGTTAGAGGATGTGTATGTGTGTGGTGTGGGGTGAGTGAAGGTATGGGAGAGTAAAGGGGGTTTGTGGTGACGGGTGTTAAGGATGTGGTGATGCTAAAGGTGAGTTTTAGGTTTGATGTTTTGTGTTTGGGGATATTTTAAATTGATGTCGGGCGAGTAGTTGATGGTGTTTTTGCGTTTATTGTTCAGGGTTCTGGTGGTCAGTTTTTGGGGAAAGTGCGATGTTTTGTTTGGGGGATTCTGTTATTGTTTTTTTGTTCTGATGAGTGTGGTCTAGGGGGTGTTTGGGGAGGTGGTTGATGGTAATTTGTTGAAATGGGAGTTTGGTTGTGGGTTGTCGGTGGTTGCTTGGGTGATAGGTAGGGGGTTCAGGGGCTTTATGTGTTTTTGTTCAGTCTCTTGTTGGTGTCTTGTTGAGTGTTTTTATTGTGTTGGGGGCTTTTTTTTTCTTTCTTTTTTGTTTTTTTTTTTTTTCTTTCTTTTTTTTCTTTTTTTTTTTTTGTTTTCTTTTTTTTTTTTTTCTTTTTTTTTTTTTGGGGGTTTTTTTCTTTTTGGGGGGGTTTTTTTTTTTTTTGGTTTTTTCTTTTTTTTTCTTTTTTTTCTTTTTTTTTTTTTTTTCTTTTTTTTTTTTTTTTTTTTTTTTTTTTCTTTTTTTGGGTTTTTTTTGGGGGGTTTTTTTTTTTTGTGGGGGGGTTTTTTTTCCTTTTTTTTTTGTTCTTGGTTTTTTTTGGGTTTTTGTTCTTTTTTTATTTTTTTTTCCTTGCTTTTTTTGTGCTTTTCTTTTTTTTTTTTCTTTCTTTTTCTTTTTTTTTTTTTTTTTCCGTTTTTTTTGCTTTTTTTTTTTTCTTTTTTAATGTATTTTTTTTTTTGCGGGGTTCTTTTTTCTTTCTTTTTTTTTTTTTCTTTTTTTTTCTTTTTGGGGTTTTTGCCTTTTTTGGGGGGTTTTTTCGGGGCTTTTTGTTCTTCTGTGGGGGTGGGTGGTGGGTTGGGGGTGGTTCCCGTTTTGTGTCGTTGCCCTCCGCCCCGGTCCCCACCTGGCAAACCCCGCCCTTCTTCAGGGGGTTTGTTGTTTTTCCCCCTCCTGTTGCCCCACCCTGGGTTTTCCCCTCTGCCCTGTCAACAGCTGTCTATGATGCCTAAGGACACAACCCCAAAAAGGGGTTTAGTAAGGGGAAACCCCATTCAAGAACAGAGAAGAGAAGACAAGAAAACAGGAGAGGCAGGAACACAGAGAAAGAAGAGAAAAGAGGGAAACCCAAAGGAGGAGAAAGCAAAAAAGGGAAAAGGGGGAAAAGAGGAGAAACCCGAGAAAGGGAAAATGCGAGATAAGTAAAATTTTTTTAAAAAGAAGAAGGAGAGAAAAAAAAACAGAAAGAAGGGAAAGTGCCCGGGGGGGGGAGGGAAAGGTTAAAAAGCAAAGAGAGAGGAAAAAGGCAAAAAAAGAGAAGTGGCAAAAGAAAGAGAGAATGCAAAAAAAAGATAAAAAAAAATAAAGAAAGGAAAACCCGAAAGAAAAGAGAATGGCAAAAAAAGAAAAGAAAAGAACAGAAGAAAAGGAGAAGTGGAAAAAAAAGGAAAACAGCAAGAAGAAGAAAAATGCAGAAAAGAGAGGAGAAGTGCAGAGAAGAGAGGAGAAGTGCAGAGAAGAGAGGAGAACAGCAGTAAGGGAAGAGAGGAGAAGTGCAGAGAAAGAGAGAGGAGAGAGAGAAGAGGGAGAGAGAAGGAGAGAAGTGCAGAGAAGAGAGGAGAACAGCAGAGAAGAGAGGAGAAGTGCAGAGAAGAGAGGAGAAGTGCAGAGAAGAGAGGAGAACAGCAGAGAAGAGAGGAGAAGTGCAGAGAAGAGAGGAGAACAGCAGAGAAGACAGGAGTGCAGAGAAGAGAGGAGAAAGAGAACAGAGAAAGAGAGAAGTGAGAGAAAAGAGGAGAAGTGCAGAGAAGAGAGGAGAACAGCAGAGAAGAGAGGAGAAGATAGAGAGAGAGAGCGAGAGAGAGGAGAAGTAGAGAAGAGAGGAGAAGGAGAAAGAGAAGAAGAGAAGAGAAGTGCAGAGAAGAGAGGAGAAGTGCAGAGAAGAGAGGAGAACAGCAGAGAAGAGAGGAGAAGTGCAGAGAAGAGCAGAGAACAGCAGAGAAGAGAGGAGAAGTGCAGAGAAGAGAGGAGAAGTGCAGAGAAGAGAGGAGAGTGTCAGAGAAGAGAGGAGAACAGCAGAGAAGAGAGGCGAAGTGCAGAGAAGAGAGGAGAAGTGCAGAGAAGAGAGGAGAAGTGCAGAGAAGAGGCCGAGAACAGCAGAGAAGAGAAGGGCAACAGAAGTGCAGAATATAATAGAATGTGTATATTTCCCAAAGGATCTTCATGTTGGCATTGGGTTCAGACTGTTGCCATACACAGCAGGACAACAGCGTGGTACAGGAAACGGCTAGCAGACAGACACGGAGACCCTCCTCTTCCTCACCTTTAACCAGGGTGTGTTTGTCAGTAGGAGAGGATCTAGCCAGGACTCGCAGTTTAGGCCACACCTTGTCCATGCGCTCCTGCTCAACCTGTAGTAAAGAGTAAAAAAGGATACATGTGTTTGTTTTCTATGACTGTGTTTTATTTCTCTGTTTTGCTTTTCACATTGTATTGATGTGTATGTGTTTGTAATGAAAGGGCTCATCTGTAAAAAATAGACCTTGGTCTTAGCATGACTCTCTGTCAAAATAAAGGTTAAATCAATAAAAAATGTCAGAGCCTGAAGGTCCTTTATCCTGACGGAACATACAGTAGACTCCTGACAGATCAACCAGCATGTAGTATTGCGGGTGGTTCTCCAATCTCTCCTCAGGGACCTCCAGATGTTTCACAATGGTGTTGTAGCCCCCCAGACGTTGGAGCCTTGATGATTAGTTGACAAGTTAAATCAGGTGTGTTAGCTGTGGAATATATCAAATACATGGAACGGCTGGTGGTCCCTGAGGAGAGGTTTGGGAACGGCTGGGGGTCCCAGAGGGGAGGTTTGAGAACGGCTGGGGGTCCCCGAGGGGAGGTTGGAGAACGGCTGGGGGTCCCAGAGGAGAGGTTTGAGAACGGCTGGGGGTCCCAGAGGGGAGGTTGGAGAACGGCTGGGGGTCCCAGAGGGGAGGTTTGAGAACGGCTGGGGGTCCCCGAGGGGAGGTTGGAGAATGGCTGGGGGTCCCAGAGGGGAGGTTGGAGAACGGCTGGGGGTCCCTGAGGGGAGGTTGGAGAACCCATGCTGTAGCGTACCTCTCCCTTCTCGTTGCGGATCCTCCTGTTGAACTCCTTGCCGTCGATACACAGGAAGTCTTCTCCAGGGTGGATGATGCCACACTTGATGGCGATGGCCCTGGCCGTGTTAATGTTGTCACCTGTCACCATGCGCACTGTGATGCCCGCACGCTGGCAACGGACAATGGCAGCAGGCACCTGCAGGGCACACACACACACACACACACACACACACACACACACACAGTGAGGTGGTTTTCTATGACGGTGCCACGTTGAAAGTCACTGAGCTCTTCAGTAAGGTAATTCTACTGCCAATGTTTGTCTATGGAGATTGCATGGATGTGTGCTTGATATTATACACCTGTCAGCAACGGGTGTGGCTGAAATAGCCGAATCAACTCATTTGAAGGGCTGTCCACATACCTTTGCATATATAGTGCATCACAGACAATACCCTTTATTCTGTAGAACAGTGAGTCCCTATACAGTGCATTCGGAAAGTATTCAGACCCCTTTAGTTTTTCCACATTTTGTTACATTACAGCCTTATTCTAAAATGGATTAAATAAATGAAAATCCTCATCAATCTACACACAATACCCCGTAATGGAAAGACACAAACTTGTCTATATAAGGTCCCACAGTTGACAGTGCATGTCAGAGCAAAAACCAAGCCATGAGGTTGAAGGAATTGTCCGTAGAGTTCCGAAACAGGATTGTGTCGAGGCACAGATCTGGGGAAGGGTACCAAAACTTTCTGCAGCACTGAAGGTCCCCAAGAACACAATGGCCTCCATCATTCTTAAATGGAAGAAGTTTGGAACCACCAAGACTCTTCCTAGAGCTGGCCGCCTGGCCAGACTGAGCAATCGGGGGAGAAGGGCCTTGGTCAGGGAGGTGACCAGGAACCTGATGGTCACTCTGACAGAGCTCTAGAGTTCCTCTGTGGAGATGGGAAAACCTCCCAGAAGGACAACCATCTTTGCAGCTTTCCACCAATTAGGCCTTTATGGTAGACTGGCCAGACGGAAGCCACTACTCAGTAAAAGGCACATGACAGCCCACTTGGAGTTTACCAAAAGGCACCTAAAGGACTCTCAGACAATGAAAAACAAGATTATCTTGTCTGATGAAACCAAGATTGAACTATTTGGCCTGAATGCCAAGCGTCACATCTGGAGGAAACCTGGCAACATCCCTACGGTGAAGAATGGTGGTGGCAGCATCATGCTGTGGGGATGTTTTTCAGCGGCAGGGACTGGGAGACTAGTCAGGATCGAGGGAAAGATGAACAGAGCAAAGTACAGAGAGATCCTTGATGAAAACCTGCTCCAGAGTGCTCAGGACCTCAGACTGGGGGGGAAAGTTCACCTTCCAACAGGACAACGACCCTAAGCACACAGCCAAGACAACGCACGAGTGGCTTCGGAACAAGTCTCTGAATGTCCTTGAGTGGCCCAGCCAGAACCCGGACTTGAACCCTATCGAACATCTCTGGAGAGTCCTGATAATAGCTGTGCAGCGACGCTCCCCATCCAACCTGACAGAGCTTGAGAGGATCTGCAGAGAATACAGGTGTGCCAAGCTTGTAGCGTCATCCCCAAGAAGATTTGAGGCTGTAATCGCTGCCAAAGATGCTTCAACAAAGTACTGAGTAAATGGTCTGACATTTCGAAAAACCTGTTTTTGCTTTGTCATTATGGGTAATTGTGTTTAGACTGATGAGGAAAAAAAACAAAATTTAATCAATTTTAGAATAAGGTTGTAACGTAACAAAATATGGAAAAAGTCAAGGGGTCTGAATACTTTCCGAATGAACTGTATATCTCACATAGACACACACAGACTATATGTCATTTAGAATACCCTTGACTTATACTGTAGTACAGTGAGGGCATACATTTTAATACAATTGTCCTCAACGGGAATCGAACCCACAACCCTGGCATTACTAGAATAAAAAAGTGTTGTATAGTGGTGGTGGGGACATTAAGGAGCGCACACAGACACTCCCATATATAGCATGTGCACCCCATAGGTGTGGGAGTTCACAGTCACCTGCAGACTTAGCAACATGTTTATTGGAGTAACTAGACTAAACTTACCTTTCTGCCTCCTCGTTATTGGATTGTACTTCCAACATGTCACGGACTTAATACATAAACAAACACACATACACACACACACACACACACACACATGCACACACACACACACAGAAGCCTCTCCAACATAATCCAAGTAGAATCAGGAATTCCCCAAGGCAGCTGTCTAGGCCCCTTACTTTTTTATTTTCTTTACTAATGACCTGCCACTGGCTCTGAATAAAGCATGTGTGTCTATGTATGCGGATGACCCAACACTATACGCATCAGCTACTACAGCGAGTGAAATTACTGCAGCACTTAACAAAGAGCTGACAAAGAGCTGACAAGAGCTAACAAAGAGCTGCAGTCAGTTTCAGGATGGGTGGCAAGGAATAAGTTAGTCCTAAATATTTCAAAAACTAAAAGCATTGTATTTGGGACAAATCATTCACTAAACCCTAAACCTCAATTAAATAATTGTAATGAATAATGTGGAAATAAACCCCAGGAAGAGTAGCTTCCTGTCTTGGTAGGAACTAATGGGGATCCATAATAAACCCCTGTAGCTAAGTTGGTAGAGCATGGCGCTTGCAACGCCAGGGTTGTGGGTTCGTTTCCCACGGGGGGCCAGTATGAAAATGTATGCACTCACTAACTGTAAGTCGCTTTGGATAAGAGCGTCTGCTAAATGACTAAAAAAGCCTTGGCAGAACCTAACGGGGATCCTTAACAAACCCCAGGAAGCTGCTGCTACAAAGCTTAGTGATGAGGTGTTTCGTCCCAGGATCCTTAGCTTAGTGATGAGCTTTGAGGGCACTATGGTGTTGAACGCTGAGCTGTAGTCAATGAACAGCATTCTCACGTAGGTGATCCTTTTGTCCAGGTGGGAAAGGGCAGTGTGGAGTGCGATTGAGATTGCGTCATCTGTGGATCTATCGGGGCGGTATGCGAATTGGAGTGGGTCTATGGTTTCCGGGATGATGGTGTTGATGTGAGCCATGACCAGCCTTTCAAAGCACTTCATGGCTACCGACGTGAGTGCTACGGGGCGGTAGTCATTTAGGCAGGTTACCGTTGCTTTCTTGGGCACAGGGACTATGGTGGTCCGCTTGAAACATGTAGGTATTACAGACACGGTCAGGGAGAGGTTGAAAGTGTCAGTGAAGACACTTGCCAGTTGGTCCGCGCATGCTCTGAGTACACGTCCTGGTAATCCGTCTGGCCTTACGGCCTTGTGAATATTGACCTGTTTAAAGGTCTTGCTCACATCGTCTATGGAAAGCGTGATCACACAGTAGTCCGGAACAGCTGGTGCTCTCATGCATGCTTCAGTGTTGCTTGCCTCGAAGCGAGCATAAAAGGCATTTAGCTCATCTGGTAGGCTCATGTCACTGGGCAGCTCGCGGCTGGGTCCGTAATAGCTTGCAAGCTGTGCCACATCCGACGAGCATCAGAGCCGGTGTAGTAGGATTCAATCTTAATCCTGCATTGACGCTTTGCCTGTTTGATGGTTCGTCTGAGGGCATAGCAGGATTTCTTATAAGCATCCGGATTAGTGTCCCGCTCCTTGAAAGCGGCAGCTCTAGCCTTTAGCTCGGTGCGGACGTTGCCTGTACTCCATGGCTTCTGGTTGGGATATGTATGTACGGTCACTGTGGGGATGACTTCGTCGATGCACTTATTGATGAAGCCAGTGACTGAGGCGGTATACTCCTCAATGCTATCTGAAGAATCCCGGAACATATTCCAATCTGTGCTAGCAAAACAGTCCTGTAGCGTAGCATCTGCGTCATCTGACCACTTCTCTATTGAGCGAGTCACTGGTGCTTCCTGCTTTAGTTTTTGCTTGTAAGCAGGAATCAGGAGGATATCATTATTATCAGATTTGCCAAATGGAGGGCGAGGGAGAGCTTTGTATGTGTCTCTGTGTGTGGAGTAAAGGTGGTCTAGAGTTTATTTTCCTTTGGTTGCACATGTGACATGCTAGTAGAAATTAGGTAAAACTGATTTAAGTTTGCCTGCATTAAAGTCCCCAGCCACTAGGGGCGCCGCTTCTGGATGAGAATATTATTGTTTGCTTATGGCCTTATACAGCTCGTTGAGTGCGGTCTTAGTGCCGGCATCAGTTTGTGGTGGTAAATAGACGGCTACGAAGAATATAGATGAAAACTCTCTTGGTAAATAGTGTGGTCTACAGTTTATTATGAGGTACTCTAACTCAGGCGAGCAATACCTCGAGACTACCTTAATATTAGACATCGGGCACCAGCTGTTATTGACAAATAGACACCCCCCCCCCGCCCCTCGTCTTACCGGACGTAGCTGCTCTGTCCTGCCGATGCGATGGAAAACCCAGCCTCCTCTATATTATCCGTGTTGTCGTTCAGCCACGACTCGGTGAAACATAAGATGTTACAGTTTTTAATATCCCGTTGGTAGGATAGTCTCGACCATAGATCATCCAGTTTGTTTTCCAGTGATTGCACATTGGCCAATAGAACGGATGGTAGAGGCTTGGTTACCCACAAGGCACCCTGATCTCCTCCCTCTGTATGTCCGTCTTTTCTTCACGCGAATGACGGGGATTTGGGCCTGGTCCGGGAGAAAGAGTATATCCTTTGCGTCAGACTCATTAAAAAAAGAATCTTCGTCCAGTTCGAGGTGAGTAATCGCTGTTCTTATATCCAGAAGTTATTTTTGGTCATAAGAGACGGTAGCAGCAACATTATGTACAAAATAACTTACAAACAATGCCAAAAAAAACACACAAAATAGCACAATTAGTTAGGAGCCCGTAAAACGGCATCCATCTCCTCCGGCGCCATTATCATTACCAGGGCCCATAGAGGGGCCTCTGGTCAATAGTAGTGAACTATATAGGGAATAGGGTGCCATTCTCTGGTCAAAAGTAGTGAACTATATAGGGAATAGGGTGCTATTTGGGACACTCGCTCACTGCCAACTGGGAGGAGGAGGAGGAGGAGGAGGAGGAGGAGGAGGAGGAGGAGGAGGAGGTAAATACACATTGTTTAGTAGAGATGTTTTGGCTTTGAACTGTACAACATTACTATTCCTCCTACAGCACCACCTCCCTCCCTCCCCACAACACACCACCTCTAAAACCACCCACACACACACTCACACACCCTCCTAACACACACACCATCTCCTAACACACACACCACCCTACACACACAACCTCACACACACACCCCCTAACACCACACCACACCCCAACCACACACACACACACACCCACACTCCAAACCCACCCACCCACCACCACACCACACACACACACTCCTAACACACACACACTCCTAACACACACACACAACCCTCCTAACACACACACACACTCCTAACACACACACACACTCCTAACACACACCACACTCCTAACACACACACACTCCTAACACACACACCCTCCTAACCACACACACCACCCCCTAACACACACCACACTCCTAACCCACACCACCCAACCCACCCACACACACTCCTCCACACCACCCACCCTAACACACCACACACCACTCCTAACCACACACACCACTCCTAACACCCACCACACCTCCTAACCACACACCACCTCCTAACACACACACACACTCCTAACACACACACACACACACTCCTAACATCGCTCAAAGGTAATCTCATTATTATTCAGTCTGATGTACAGAGATGGGGCTGCGTCCCAGATGTATTCCCTACGTAGTGCACTACTTTAGACCATGGCTCATAGGGGGGTAGTGCACTACGCAGGGAAATAAGGGAAGCAAACCCACCTCTGTACATCAGACTGAATAATAATAAGATGCCCTTTGAGCGGTGTTAGGAGTGTGTGCGGGCGCTGAGAGGAGCCAGATAGGGAGGTGTAACACAGTACTGACACCAACACCTCTGCAAATAACAGAAAAAACATGTTGATCAACATGTATCTGTGTTTGCCTTGTAATCAATGTCAACATCGCGTTAGCTGTGTTGTTTTGTATTAAGTAGCTATTTTTTGCTCAGTCTAATATATGGTGACACTGAGGGATCAGTGATGACACCAGATCCTCTGCTGACGTAACGTGTTCAACATCTATGTAGGTTTTCTCTGTTGGCATCATGTTTTCTATGTTAGGGTTATGTTCTGTAATCTCTACCATAACATAGTAAAACGGTTTATCAACATTGATGTATTTTACATTTATCAGACACTCTTATCCAGAGCAATTAGGGTTAAGTGCCTTGCTCAAGGGCACATCGACAGATTTTTCACCTAGTCGGCTCGGGGATTAGAACCAGCGACCTTTCGGTTACTGGCACAATGCTCTTAACCACTAAGCTACCTGTTAGTGTTATGTTCTTGCTGTAACCTCTACTATAACATAGTGAAACGGTTTATCAACATTGATGTGTGTTAGTGTTATGTTCCATGTATAACCTTTTCCACAGACGGTTCTACATGGAACGCAAAAGGGTTCTACCTGGAACCAAGAAGGGTTCTCCTATGGAGACAGCCGAAAAACCCTTTTCGGAACCATTTTTTTCTAAGAGTGTAGCCTAAACATATCGATGTTACATTGAGCTGGGTGACTGGAATATGAATGACAGTCATCCAATATGCTGTAATAGAAAATAAGGCCATGTTCATAAAAACATACTCGTCCTCCCTCATCTTAAACGGCACCGACTACCTGAACCCAAACATCCAGAGCTGTTGCTGCGTACAGAACATGATTACTGGTGGTTATCTGATAATATCTACAGCAGTATCTAGATGTCTGAAAACCACACCGGGCAGTTCTGGCCAGACACCTTGGGGACACAGGGATGTGATACCTACATATCTGGACAAGGATCAGCCCAGTTCTAGAGTTCTGGCCCAGTTCTGTAACCCATTCGCAAGAGATGGGCTACTTTTAGTAGTGCACCATAGTCACCAAGAAAACAATTGGTAACGCACTACGCCGTGAAGGACTGAAATCCTGCAGCGCCCGCAAGGTCCCCCTGCTCAAGAAAGCACATATACAGGCCCATCTGAAGTTTGCCAATGAACATCTGAATGATTCAGAGGAGAACTGGGTGAAAGTGTTGTGGTCAGATGAGACCAAAATGGAGCTCTTTGGCATCAACTCAACTCGCCGTGTTTGGAGGAGGAGGAATGCTGCCTATGACCCCAAGAACACCATCCCCACCGTCAAACATGGAGGTGGAAACATTATGCTTTGGGGGTGTTTTTCTGCTAAGGGGACAGGACAACTTCACCGCATCAAATGGACGATGGATGGGGCCATGTACCGTCAAATCTTGGGTGAGAACCTCCTCCCCTCAGCCAGGGCATTGAAAATGGGTCGTGGATGGGTATTCCAGCATGACAATGACCCAAAACACACGGCCAAGGCAACAAAGGAGTGGCTCAAGAAGAAGCACATTAAGGTCCTGGAGTGGCCTAGACAGTCTCCAGACCTTAATCCCATAGAAAATCTGTGGAGGGAGCTGAAGGTTTGAGTTGCCAAACGTCAGGCTCGAAACCTTAATGACTTGGAGAAGATCTGCAAAGAGGAGTGGGACAAAATCCCTCCTGAGATGTGTGCAAACCTGGTGGCCAACTACAAGAAACGTCTGACCTCTGTGATTGCCAACAAGGGTTTTGCCACCAAGTACTAAGTCATGTTTTGCAGAGGGGTCAAATACTTATATCCCTCATTAAAATGCAAATCAATTTATAACATTTTTTACATGCATTTTTCTGGAATTTTTTGTTGTTATTCTGTCTCTCACTGTTCAAATAAACCTACCATTAAAATTATAGACTGATCATGTCTTTGTCAGTGGGCAAACGTACAAAATCAGCAGGGAATCAAATACTTTTTTCCCTCACTGTATGTACCGACTCAGTGAACATAGCCTTGCTATTGAGAAAGGCCGCCGTAGGCAGACCTGGCTCTCAAGAGAAGACAAGCTATGTGCACACTGCCCACAAAATGAGGTGGAAACTGAGCTGCACTTCCTAACCTCCTGCCAAATGTATGACCATATTAGAGACACATATTTCCCTCAGATTACACAGACCCACAAAGAATTCGAAAACAAACCCAATTTTTATAAACTCTCTTATCTACTGGATGAAAAACCACACTGTGCCATCACAGCAGCAAGATTTGGAAATGTGACCTGTTGCCACAAGAAAAGGGCAACCAGTGAAGAACAAACACCATTGTAAATACAACCCATATTTATGTTTATTTATTTTCCCATTTGTACTTTAACTATTTTGCACATCATTACAACACTGTATATATACATAATATGACATTTGAAATGTCTTTATTCTTTTGGAACTTCTGAGTGTAATGTTTACTGTTAATTTTTATGGTTTATTTCACTTTTGTTTACTATCTACTTCACTTGCTTTGGCAATGTTAACATACGTTTCCCATGCCAATAAAGACCTTAAATTGAAATTTAATTGAGAGAGAGAGAGAGAGAGAGAGAGAGTCAGAGAGAGAGAGAGAGAGAGAGAGAGAGAGAGAGAGAGAGAGAGAGAGAGAGAGAGAGAGAGAGAGAGAGGGAGAGAGTCAGAGAGAGAGGGCGAGAGAGAGGGAGAGATAGAGATAGAGATAGAGATAGAGAGAGACAAAGAGAGAGAGAGAGAGAGTGAGAGAGACAGAGAGAGTCAGAGAGAGAGAGAGAGGGAGAGAGTCAAAAAGAGAGAGAGGGAGAGAGTCCAACGAGAGAGGAGAGAGAGAGAGAGAGAGAGAGAGAGAGAGAGAGAGAGAGAGGGGGGGGGGGGGGGGGGGGGGAGGGGGGGGGGGAGAGTGGAGCGGAGGAGCGGAAGGGAGGGGCAGTTGAGGTCAGCTCTCCACCATTTTAAATCTTCTCAACCCATTATAATGTTGTTTTCAATCATAAAGCTGCATTACCCTGGTTAGCTGTACCTACCTATGAGCCATACATAGAGGCTCTGTCCTCTCTGCCTACGGGAACCCAACTCAACACTTTATCAAGTGACTTTACAGTCGAGGAGGAGCAGTTGGCTGTTGAGGAGTAAACTCAGGTTTTCTGGGTATCTATGTTTTTGGTTGTATAGGTTTCTTTCTTAGGTTTTTGTATTCTTCATCAAACCAGTTGTCATTGTTGTTATTTTCTTAGGTTGTCTGCTTGAAATGTTTAGATTTGGAAGCTGAAAGGTCAAATGTACTGTTTAGGCTTTCTACAGCCAAGTTTACACCTTCACTATTACAGTGAAATGTTTTGTCCAGGAAGTTGTCTAAAAGGGATTGAATTTGTTGTTGCCTAATTGTTTTTTTTGGTAGGTTTCTACACTACTTTCCTTCCATCTATAGCATTTCCTAATATTGTGCAATTCCTTTGGCTTTGATGCCTCATGATTGAGTATTGCTCTGTTCAGGTAGACTGTGAATCTCCTCTCATTCTCATGTTGTTTTAAATCAAACAGCTACTTTACATTGGTGTACCTACCTACCTATATTTTATTTGTACCGATCATATTGTAGTCTATATAGACGCAAAATATGGAAATATCACATTTACGTAAGTATTCAGACCCATTACTCAAATCAAATCAAATTTTGTTTGCCACATGCGCCGAATACAACTTGTGTAGACTTTACAGTGAAATGCTTACTTACAAGCTCTTAACCAACAATGCAACATAATCCCAGGATCATTAGCTTAGTGATGAGCTTTTGAGGGCACTGTGGTGTTGAACGCTGAGCTGTAGTCAATGAACAGCATTCTCACGTAGGTGTTCCTCTTGTCCAGGTGGGAAAGGGCAGTGTGGAGTGCAATAGAGAATGCATCATCTGTGGATCTGTTGGGGCGGTATGCAAATTGGAGTGGGTCTAGGGTTTCTGGGATAATGGTGTTGATGTGAGCCATGACCAGCCTTTCAAAGCACTTTATGGCTATAGACGTGAATGCTACGGGTCGGTAGTAATTTAGGCAGGTTATCTTAGTGTCCTTGGGTACAAGGACTATGGTGGTCTGCTTGAAACATGTTGGTATTACAGACTCAGTCAGGGACATGTTGAAAATGTCAGTGAAGACACTTGCCAGTTGGTCAGCACATGCTCGGAGTACACGTCCTGGTAATCCGTCTGGCCCAGCGGCCTTGTGAATGTTGACCTGCTTAAAAGTCTTACTCACATCGGCTACGGAGAGCGTGATCACATAGTCATCTGGAACAGCTGGTGCTCTCATGCATGCTTCAGTGTTGCTTGCCTCGAAGCGAGCATAGAAGTGATTTAGCTCGTTTGGTAGGTGTGTGTCACTTGGCAGTTCGCGGCTGTGCTTCCTTTTGTAGTCTGTAATAGGTTTCAAGCCCTGCCACATCCAAGTGTCAGAGCCGGTGTAGTACAATTCAATCTTAGTCTGGTATTGACTCTTTGCCTGTTTGATGGTTCGTCGGAGAGCATAGCGGGATTTCTTATAAGCGTCCGGGTTAGAGTCCCGCTCCTTGAAAGCGACAGCTCTACCCTTTAGCTCAGTGCGGATGTTGCCTGTAATCCATGGCTTCTGGTTGGGGTATGTACGTACGGTCACTGTGGGGACGACATCATCGATGCACATACTGATGAAGCCAGTGACTGATGTGGTGTACTCCTCAATGCTATCTGAAGAATCCGGGAACATATTCCAGTCTGTGCTAGCAAAACAGTCCTGTAGCTTAGCATCTGCGTCATCTGACCACTTTTTTATTGAACGAGTTACTGGTGCTTCCTGCTTTAGTTTTTGCTTATAAGCAGGAATCAGGAGGATAGAGTTATGGTCAGATTTGCCAAATGGAGGGCGAGGGAGAGCTTTGTATGCGTCTCTGTGTGTGGAGTAAAGGTGGTCTAGAGTTTTTTAATAATATGCCATTTAGCAGACGCTTTTATCCAAAGCGACTTACAGTCATGTGTGCATAAATTTTTACGTATGTGTGGTCCCGGGGATCGAACCCACTACCCTGGCGTTACAAGCGCCGTGCTCTACTAATTGAGCTACAGAGGACCACATCTGACAGTGTACTCTATGCGAACACACACACACACACACACACTCCACCCTACCTACCTCTGGCCTGACGGGGTCCTCTATGCCAACCACGCAGACGGCCGTCAGCTCATTGAGGATGTCGCTCTCATTGTCCCAGAGGGGTTCTGGGTCGGCAGGAAAGTCACGGAATGCCACGCAGATGGTCCGCAGCCCATCACACGCCATCGGCTCGATCACCTTCTTTACCATCTCGTCCTTGTCCCGGGGACGGAACACCCGTGGCTCGCCTTCCTGGTTCAGGATCTTAGTGCACCTGGGGGGACAGAGGGGCAAAGGTTAGAGGTTAGAGGTCAAGGGGTTAGAGGTCAGGAACAAGGCCTCGGTAGTCTCATTCTGAGTTGTAGTGCCACTATACCAAAGCCTGACGAGAAGGGCTAAAGCCTTGAGTAGATCAGTGATGAACATCATAAATCCAATACATGCAGTTCCAATCAATCAATCCCCAAAATCAATCTCTAGCTCCTTTTGGCCCTCTGCGAAGAAGATCTGAGAGGATTGTCTCTCATCTAAGATCTCTACAAGTGCATAGGAGGTAGAGGGGTTTCTTTCCTTTCTGGATTGGGTTCTGGAAACTGAAGATGAACCAAGATCCATCATGGACTCTATGGTGTCAGACCGAGCTGTGAACCACTCACTTCTTGAGGACGATCTCGGAGGCTCCTTTGCTGTACATCCTGAATGAGCCGTCTGGTAGTTTGATGACCGTGGACATAGACTTCCTGACCGAGTTAAAGGTGTACACCTGGTAGAATTAGGATTAGAATTCTTAATTAGAATAATTAGAATTAGAATTAGAACAACTTTATTGTCCAGACAATGGGGAAATGTGTCTATGGCTTCATAACACAACGATTGACATAAAGACAAACATGTAAACACCATAATCATCATCCAACACCATCACCACCACCACCATCATCAACATCATCATCACCACCTACCTGTCCCAGACCTGCTGTTTTCAACTCTTAATGATCGGCTATGAAAAGCCAACTGAGAGACCTGAGCCCTAGGACCATACGTCGGGACTACCGGCCGTGGTGACTCCTTGCTGTCCCCAGTCCGCCTGGCCTTGCTGCTATTCCAGTTTCAACTGTTCTGCCTGCGGTTATGGAACCCCTACCTGTCCCAGACCTGCTGTTTTCAACTCTTAATGATCGGCTATGAAAAGCCAACTGAGATTTATTCCTGATTATTATTTGACCATGCTTGTCACTTATGAACATTTTTGAACATCTTGGCATGGTTCTGTTATAATCTCCACCCGGCACAGCCAGAAGAGGACTGGCCACCCCTCATAGCCTGGTTCCTCTCTAGGTTTCTTCCTAGGTTTTCGCCTTTCTAGGGAGTTTTTCCTAGCCACCGTGCTTCTACACCTGCATTACTAGCTGTTTGGGGTTTTAGGCTGGGTTTCTGTACAGCACTTCGAGATATTAGCTGATGTAAGAAGGGCTATATAAAATAAAATTGATTGATTGATTGACCACCATCACCACCACCACCACCACCACCATCACCACCACCACCATCACCACCACCATCACCACCATCATCAACACCACCACCACCACCACCACCATCATCAACACCACCATCACCATCACCATCACCATCACCATCACCACCACCACCACCACCATCATCACCCATCACCACCATCATCAACATCATCATCACCACCACCACCATCATCTCCACCATCATCAACACCTCCATCACCACCACCATCATCATCATCGTCAACACCACCACCAACATCACCACCACCACCACCATCATCTGCACCATCATCAACACCACCATCACCAACACCACCATCATCATCATCATCATAACCATCATCATTAGATTTAAAAAACAGATTAAAAAAACACCTTATGGAACTGTGGGGACTGTGAAGCAACACAAACATAGGCGCACACACACGATAACATACGCACTTGCAAAAGTATTCATCCCCCTTGGCGTTTTTCCTATTTTGTTGCATTACAACCTGTAATTTCAATGGATTTTTATTTGGATTTCATGTAATGGACATTCACAAAATAGTCCAAATTGGTGAAGTGAAATTTAAAAAATAACTTGTTTCAACAAATTCTAAAAAATAAATAACGGAAAAGTGGTGCGTGCATATTTATTCACCCCTTTTGATATGAAGCCCCTAAATAAGATCTGGTGCAACCAATTACCTTAAAAAGTCAAATAATTAGTTAAATAAAGTCCACCTGTGTGCATTCTAAGTGTCACATGAACTGTCACATGATCTCAGTATATATACACCTGTTCTGAAAGGCCCCAGAGTCTGCAACACCACTAAGCAAGGGGCACCACCAAGCAAGCGGCACCATGAAAAAAAATGTATGCACGCATGACTGTAAGTCGCTTTGGATAAAAGCGTCTGCTAAATGGCATATTATTATTATTATTATTTATGAAGACCAAGGAGCTCTCCAAAAACAGGTCAGGGACAAAGTTGTGGAGAAGTACAGATCAGGGTTGAGTTATAAAAAAATATCAGAAACTTTGAACATCCCACGGAGCACCATTAAATCCATTATTAAAAAATGGAAAGAATATGGCACCACAACAAACCTGCCAAGAGAGGGCCGCCCAAAACTCATGGACCACGCAAGGAGAGCATTAATCAGAGGCAACAAAGAGACCAAAGATAACCCTGAAGGAGCTGCAAAGCTCCACAGCGGAGATTGGAGTATCTGTACATAGGACCACTTTAAGCCATACACTCCATAAAGCTGGGCTTTACGGAAGAGTGGCCAGAAAAAAATCCATTGCTTAAATAAATAAATAAGTAAAAACGTTTGGCGTTCGCCAAAAGCCATGTGGGAGACTCCCCAAACATATGGAAGAAGGTACTCTGGTCAGATAAGACTAAAATTGAGCTTTTTGGCCATCAAGGAAAACGCTATGTCTGGCGCATACACAACACCTCTCATCACCCCGAGAACACCATCCCCACAGTGAAGCATGGTGGTGGCAGCATCATGCTGTGGGGATGTTTTTCATCGGCAGGGACTGGGAAACTGGTCAGAATTGAAGGAATGATGGATGGCTCTAAATACAGGGAAATTCTTGAGGGAAACCTGTTTCAGTCTTACAGAGATTTGAGACTGGGACGGAGGTTCACCTTCCAGCAGGACAATGACACTAAGCATACTGCTAAAGCAACACTTGAGTGGTTTAAGGGGAAATATTTAAATGTCTTGGAATGGCCTAGTCAAAGCCCAGACCTCAATCCAATTGAGAATCTGTGGTATAACTTAAAGATTACTGTACACCAGCGGAACCCATCCAACTTGAAGGAGCTGGAGCAGTTTTGCCTTGAAGAATGGGCAAAAATCCCAGTGGCTAGATGTGCCAAGCTTATAGAGACATACCTCAAGAGACTTGCAGCTGTAATTGCTGCAAAAGGTGGCTCTACAAAGTATTGACTGGGGGAGGGTGAATAGTTATGCACGCTCAACTTTTCTGTTTTTTTTTTGGTCTTATTTCTTGTTTATTTCACAATAAAAAATATTTTACATCTTCAAAGTGGTAGGCATGTTGTGTAAATCTAATGATACAAACCAGGTTGTAAGGCATCAAAATAGGAAAAATGCCAAGGGGGGTGAATACTTTAACAAGCCACTGTACACATGGATTCTTGGGGCCTGAGGACACACAGTGTGTTGTGAAATCTGTGAATGTATTGTAATGTTTTTAAATTGTATGAACTGCCTTATTTTTGCTGGACCCCAGGAAGAGTAGTTTTTGCCTTGGCAGGAACTAATGGGGATCCTTAATAAATACAAATACCACCACCATCACCACCATCATCATCATCACTACCATCACCATCATCACCACCACCATCATCACCACCATCATCACCATCATCACCACCACCATCACCACCACCATCACCACCATCAACATCCTCATCTTTACCTTGTAGGGGGAAAGAAAGAAAGACAAGGGTACAGAGGACAAGAGAGGTAAGAGACATCATGACAGAGAACCACAACGAAAAAGGTGTAGAATACCTTGTAGAGTTTCTCCTCTGGGATCTGGTTGCGGACGGGCTGGTAGTCTCTCTTCAGGTCCAGCACCAGGCCCAGAAGGCCACACTCTGTCTTGTTGCCCACCTGCATGGGCAGACCACCCTCCTTGGTGGCAGGCTGGGGAGATGGAGAGACAACATAATGAACACTTCTTTATTGTCCATCGGTTAGAACGGAACTTTGTCTTCTGCCTTGCCCAACACCCCCCAGATACACACCACACGTTGAGAGGCAGAGGGCCAGCAGCAGTGCAGCGCCCCTGGATGGAGAGCCCTTGCTCAAGGGTACTATGGCAAGGACGGTACCTGGGATCAGAGCCCAGCAGCGTTCCAGCTGCCAGTTCAGTTCCATTCCCATTTTTGTGTTGCCTGGCCTGGATCTTGAACCAGCAACCTTCCTGCTGCTGGTTCGCCGCTCTACCTTCCAGGCTACTGAGAAGTCAAAACGTTTTGTTTTTGTTGCTATCGGAACGTTTTGTTTTTGTTGCTATCGGAACGTTTTGTTTTTGTTGCTATCGGAACGTTTTGTTTTTGTTGCTATCAGAACGTTTTGTTTTTGTTGCTATCGGAACGTTTTGTTTTTGTTGCTATCAGAACGTTTTGTTTTTGTTGCTATCGGAACGTTTTGTTTTTGTTGCTATCGGAACGTTTTGTATTTGTTGCTATCAGAACGTTTTGTATTTGTTGCTATCAGAACGTTTTGTTTTTGTTGCTATCAGAACGTTTTGTTTTTGTTGCTATCAGAACGTTTTGTTTTTGTTGCTATCAGTGAAATCAGTGCTAGTATAAGAAAGACAAGAGCAGGAAGGACAGGTACACATTAAGGTGTTAGGAAAGGAAGGACAGGTACACATGAAGGTGTTAGGAAAGGAAGGACAGGTACACATTAAGGTGTTAGGAAAGGAAGGACAGGTACACATTAAGGTGTTAGGAAAGGAAGGACAGGTACACATGAAGGTGTTAGGAAAGGAAGGACAGGTACACATGAAGGTGTTAGGAAAGGAAGGACAGGTACACATTAAGGTGTTAGGAAAGGAAGGACAGGTACACATTAAGGTGTTAGGAAAGGAAGGACAGGTACACATTAAGGTGTTAGGAAGGAAGGACAGGTCACATTAGGTGTTAGGAAGGAGGACAGGTACACATTAAGGTGTTAGGAAAGGAAGGACAGGTACACATTAAAGGTGTTAGGAAAGGAAGGACAGGTACACATTAAGGTGTTAGGAAAGGAAGGGACAGGTACACATTAAGGTGTTAGGAAGGAAGGACAGGTACACATTAAGGTGTTAGGAAAGGAAGGACAGGTACACATTAAGGTGTTAGGAAAGGAAGGACAGGTACACATTAAGGTGTTAGGAAAGGAAGGACAGGTACACATGAAGGTGTTAGGAAAGGAAGGACAGGTACACATTAAGGTGTTAGGACAGGACTCAGTCACCTGATCTGCATTATTTTGCATGATGTTACCACATCCATTACCATGCATCATCAGTATGTATACCTTGGGTATACGGTTGATATGCAGCGAATGAACACATTTACAGTATCAGTATGAATACATCTAAATGCAGAGACATGGACAGAGTGTGATGCAGTATAGCGCAGTTATTTTGTGTACAGTTCAGAGATGTCTTGATGTGGTGTGCAGCATAGAGTGTATAGTCCTTTAGTCTCTATGGGCCAGATGGTAGTGTACAGTTCAGAGATGGCTTGATGTGGTGTGCAGCATAGAGTGTATAGTCCTTTAGTCTCTATGGACCAGATGGTAGTGTACAGTTCAGAGATGGCTTGATGTGGTGTGCAGCGTAGAGTGTATAGTCCTGTAGTCTCTATGGGCCAGATGGCCGGCTGGTCAGGGCCACAGACCGTTTCAGGTGGCGGGAGGTTTTGGTCATGAGTGACCTGAACCGCCTGCCAGAGGTGGATTTTTGGAGGAGGGGGTGACCAGGGTGGGTGGGGTCGGCGATGATCTTTCCTGCACGCTTCCTTTCCCTGGAACCGTGCAGGACCACAGTGGAGGGCAGGTGGCAGCCGATTAACCTCTGAGGCTGTGATGTTGTCCTCCCACTAGAGACTGTGATGTTGTCCTCCCACTAGAGGCTGTGATGTTGTCCTCCCACTGGAGGCTGTGATGTTGTCCTCCCACTAGAGACTGTGATGTTGTCCTCCCACTGGAGGCTGTGATGTTGTCCTCCCACTGGAGGCTGTGATGTTGTCCTCCCACTGGAGGCTGTGATGTTGTCCTCCCACTAGAGACTGTGATGTTGTCCTCCCACTAGAGACTGTGATGTTGTCCTCCCACTGGAGGCTGTGATGTTGTCCTCCCACTAGAGACTGTGATGTTGTCCTCCCACTAGAGGCTGTGATGTTGTCCTCCCACTAGAGGCTGTGATGTTGTCCTCCCACTAGAGGCTGTGATGTTGTCCTCCCACTAGAGGCTGTGATGTTGTCCTCCCACTGGAGGCTGTGATGTTGTCCTCCCACTGGAGGCTGTGATGTTGTCCTCCCACTAGAGGCTGTGATGTTGTCCTCCCACTGGAGACTGTGATGTTGTCCTCCCACTAGAGACTGTGATGTTGTCCTCCCACTGGAGACTGTGATGTTGTCCTCCCACTAGAGACTGTGATGTTGTCCTCCCACTACAGGTTGTGGGAGACTTTGGTCCCCAGGTATTTGAATGATTCAGCCGTGCTAACAGCTGAGCCATCAATCTCGAGGGGGAGAGATGGTGGTGGTCGTTTTCTGAAGTCAACCACCATTTCCACGGTTTTGTCTGTGCTGAGTTCCAGGTTAGTGCGACAGCACCAGGCCACTAGCCGGTCGACCTCTCCACGGTACATGGACTCATCGCCGTCGGTGATGAGACCGACCAGAATGGTTTAATCTGCAAACTTGAGTAGTTTGACAGATGCGTTGTTGGAGGAAAAGTAATTGGTGTAGAGTTGGTAAAGCAGAGGTGGGAGCACGCATCCTTGCGGCGCGCCGGTGCTGAGGGATACATTTGCCATCTACAAATTATTTATAATTATTCTTCGGCCCCGTGGCTGAATCTAGTTGACGATCCCCGGTTTATGGTGTGTGGTTAAACTAAATTCAGTCCTTCGGGGGTTAGGGTTAATGCTCCCACCTCTGCTTTACCCACTCTGCACCAATGACTTTTCCTCCAACAACGCATCTGTCAAACTACTCAAGTTTGCAGATTAAACCACTCCGGTCGGTCTCATCACCGACTCAAGCCTAGTGACAGAGGCCATTCCAGTGTACACTACATTGTAATTCATAATAGTAACAATTTGTGGCGTATAGTTGAAGTGTAAGTTCAGTCCCTTGGCTGACCCCTGACCCCGACTTGTCACTCTACGCAGGAGGAGTGGGAGCTAGAATTGGTGTGGAGAGAGGAGCTGGCCCGAGCTGGTCTGGGTGTGTCGGGAAAAAACAGCTACCCTCTCACTGGTATCTCCATGGTCGCTGGAGCGTTGCTAGCGTGTCCTGCGAGTAGCAACATATGTTGAGGGGGGAGCTGGCACACTCTATTTCCTCTTAGACCTGGGCGGTGGAGGCTGGGTTTCTCTCCTCTCCCCCTAGGCACCACTCTCTCCTCTAATCCCTTCCTTTCTCCCCTCTCCTTTCTCTTTTCTATCTGCTTTCTAGTCTCTATCCATTCCTCCCTCCTTCTCCATAGACACCACTCTATCTCTTCTCCTAGCCTCTCTTCCCTTCTCTCTCCTCTCTTTCCCTCTCCTCTCCTCCCTTCCCTTCTCTCTCCTCTCTCCCTCTGTAGGGGAATCTAGGGACAGAGGACAGACTGGGAGACTGTGATGCTAGCTGTAGTACTGTACTACAGTCAAACCAGGATAGCCAGGGATAAGGACAGGGGCCAGACTGCCCTGGGAAGTGCTAGCTACAGCATTGTACTTCAGTCTGACAGTGGAGAAGGGGAAAGAGACAGGGGACAGACTGGGACACTATGAGGTGATAGGACAGGGGACAGGAGGGAGACTATGAGGTGATAGGACAGGGGACAGGAGGGAGACTATGAGGTGATAGGACAGGGGACAGACTGGGACACTATGAGGTGATAGGACAGGGGACAGGAGGGAGACTATGAGGTGATAGGACAGGGGACAGGCTGAGAGACTATGAGGTGATAGGACAGGGGACAGGAGGGAGACTATGAGGTGATAGGACAGGGGACAGGAGGGAGACTATGAGGTGATAGGACAGGGGACAGACTGGGACACTATGAGGTGATAGGACAGGGGACAGGAGGGAGACTATGAGGTGATAGGACAGGGGACAGGAGGGAGACTATGAGGTGATAGGACAGGGGACAGGAGGGAGACTATGAGGTGATAGGACAGGGGACAGGAGGGACACTATGAGGTGATAGGACAGGGGACAGGAGGGACACTATGAGGTGATAGGACAGGGGACAGGAGGGAGACTATGAGGTGATAGGACAGGGGACAGGCTGAGAGACTATGAGGTGATAGGACAGGGGACAGGAGGGAGACTATGAGGTGATAGGACAGGGGACAGGAGGGAGACTATGAGGTGATAGGACAGGGGACAGACTGGGACACTATGAGGTGATAGGACAGGGGACAGGAGGGAGACTATGAGGTGATAGGACAGGGGACAGGAGGGAGACTATGAGGTGATAGGACAGGGGACAGGAGGGAGACTATGAGGTGATAGGACAGGGGACAGGAGGGAGACTATGAGGTGATAGGACAGGGGACAGACTGGAGACTATGAGGTGATAGGACAGGGGACAGACTGGAGACTATGAGGTGATAGGACAGGGGACAGGCTGGAGACTATGAGGTGATAGGACAGGGGACAGGAGGGAGACTATGAGGTGATAGGACAGGGGACAGACTGGAGACTATGAGGTGATAGGACAGGGGACAGGAGGGAGACTATGAGGTGATAGGACAGGGGACAGGAGGGAGACTATGAGGTGATAGGACAGGGGACAGGAGGGACACTATGAGGTGATAGGACAGGGGACAGGAGGGAGACTATGAGGTGATAGGACAGGGGACAGGAGGGAGACTATGAGGTGATAGGACAGGGGACAGGAGGGAC